TGCACACAAGTGATCATTTACAAATGTAAGACAAATCACGACAATCTCTACTCTAAACCTTCCATTTGATTCCCAAGTCATTTAAAGTCCTTGTATGACCCATGAATACCCTTCACAGCCTGGCATCTCTTATCTCTGACCTCATCTCCTCCTGCTCTCTCCCTTTTCATTCCTGCCTAGCTGTTCCAGGCACAGTCCCCTCTCAAAGTGTTTGCCCTTTTTTATCATTTTGGTTGGGAAGGTCTTCCCTCAGGTCTCTGCGTCATTTGCTCCCTTTCCTCCTTTAGGGTTTTTGCTGAAATATCTCTTCAACAAGACCTTCTCTTACCACTTTAATTTGCAGCTTTTCCCATCCCACCTTTAACTCCTTTTCCTGCTTTCAAGATTTTTTTTCATAGAACTTATTTTCATGCATCATGAAAGTATTTTACTTATTTATATGTTAGTCAATCTTTGTAATATATTATTGGCTCAATGAAAAAGACAGTTTTATTTGCCCACTCCTATATTCCCAGCATCTCTAAGAGTATGTGATAAACAATTCACATTCAATAAATATTTGCTAAATGAGTTAATGAATTAACAAAATGAGGAGGGATTTGTTGTATAGAGACCAAGATCACAATAAAGTCACTATCATCAAGGCACTGTGACATTAGCACAGAGGCAGATAATTGATTTTGGAAAGGCAGGCATTTCTATCAAGTGAAAAAGAGATAGACTAATCAATCAATGTTACTGAGCCAAGTGATTATCTATATAAAAATGAAATAGGATCTGTACCCATAGCTCACATATAGATTGGGATTGAGAAATAAGTATAAAACTCATTGAACATAAGATAGAATAATAAATTTATGAACTCAGGGTAAATAATAATATAAATCTTAGAGACTTATTACCAAAACAAGAATAGAAAAAATTATAGATGTTCTTCATGGGAAAAAAAGAAAGAAGGGATATTTAACAATGTTACATTGCATATATAATAGAATATTTTGTATATGATTACCTTACTAACAGCAGTCTCAGTAGAGTAAGAGTGGCAAAAATCAGACTGCAATAAGAGATGAAAGCTAAAATATTCAGAACCTAGTAGAGACTACTACTTCAAAATTCTTGAGATTCAAATTTAAACACTTCTTCAATGGAAATGCTATGTTACATAGCAGAGATTCTAACTTTAAAGATGAGGAAGACTTGGATATTCATTTCATGTGTATTTCTTAAGTAGCAATATGCACTTGGGCATGCTTTCTGATTGAACAGAAAGGGATAGCGTTGACTTAAGATCTACAAAAGGGAGAAAATTGGCAGCTCAAAAATTCACTATAAAGAAACGTTAATTGCTTGAGGAGATAAATATATTTACCCCGAATGGACATCATACAATATATACATGTAATGAGACATCACATAGTACCCTATACACATATACCATTATACAAATTTTATGACTTTCAAATTTGTTTAAAATAAATGAAAAAACAAAATGAATTTATAAATAATTACTCAGTATTTTTAAATTTTAAGTTCTATTATGGTAAATAACAACATATTAATATGAACTGATGCTCTTTTGGGTGCTTGGTTTTTCAGAATGTAAAGGGATAACTAGTACAAATGCTCATAATAACAAATCATGATTCACCTCTAGTAAAGCTCAGATGTAAAGAAAATGAATTATTAGATTTATTGTACATAAGGTATTTTAACAAATCACATATGTAGTCATTAACTTATTTTTTTTAAAATTTGAACTCTTATTGATCATCAGATATTATGCTAAGTCTGAAAATACAAAGGAAAGATAGTCTACCTACAAGGAGTTTACAATACAAACAGAAAAAAGACAGAGGTAAACTCAGCAAATACTAATTTGAGCACTTGGCAACATCAGGGCACAAAATGAATTTTAAGCAGCAACTTCTCTAATGAAATTCAATTTGGTAATGCAATGCAATCCACAATTTTTCTACCAAATTAAACTATATAAAAAACTTATTATTCAATTGACTAATAATTAGATAGGCAAAATAATTGTTCCACCTTGGCTTTCAAAAAAAAATTGAATTCCTTTCAAAACCTTATAAACAAGCTTTATAAGTCAGTGTCCTATTATAATTGACATGTCCTATTATAATTAACAGCTCTACTCTCAACTTTTTGGTTGGGTTTCTGCATTTCCATCCCATTACTCATAAAATATTACAAACTGGGGCCGGCGCCGCAGCTCACTAGGCTAATCCTGCACCTGCGGCGCCGGCACCCAGGTTCTAGTCCCAGTTGGGGCGCTGGATTCTGTCCCGGTTCCTCCTCTTCCAGTCCAGCTCTCTGCTGTGGCCCGGGGGTGCAGTGGAGGATGGCCCAAGTGCTTGGGCCCTGCACCTGCATGGGAGACCAGGAGGAAGCACCTGGCTCCTGGCTTCAGATCGGCGCAGCGCGCCGGCCGTAGCAGCCATTTGGGGGGTGAACCAATGGAAGGAAGACCTTTCTCTCTGTCTCTGTCTCTCTCTCTCTCACTGTCTAATTCTGCCTGTCAAAAAAAAAAAAAAAATTACAAACTGTCCTAAGTTGAGCTAACCTTTAAGACTAAGGAATTCCCATCTCAGTTTTCATTAGATGGCTGATACCCATTCACAAATTAGGTATCTCTCATTAGTCAAAGAAATTGATATAAGTGCATTCTCTGTTCTCATTCTAACATGTATACAACATGTATATTTCCCTGTTCTATGTCTGCTTGATTAGACAAACAGTAACTTTGAAATTGACATTTTCCCACTAAGAAAATCTTGATTCCACACTTGGGAAAGGGAGAATGAGAAGGTGAAAGAAAACCTGGGCATACATGCATTTCCCTTGACATAACACGCTTCTTTCATATTATATCCCCTATATCTTATAGGTAATGTACCATCTTTATATCTTAGAAGGGGAGAGAGTTTATGTTAGAAATATACTAAAACATGAAATAAATCTTCCTGAAAATAACAGTATTCATACTTGTAAAATACAAAAAAGAATATTTTTTTGTGATACCATGAAAACGCATGATATTAGTATGGAAACACTAAAAGCAAAGATACAAGGAAAGTCTTTTCATAGAGTTCTAGATCAGGTGTATGGGGCTAATGAAGCTTTTTAGTCATTCTCCTATCTTTTCTCAGGTTTAGTAAATAGAATGTTTCTCATTGCAGTGAATTCAATAGTGTCCTCCCAAAATACATGTCAACCTGAAACCTCAGAATATAATCCTATTTGAAATAAGCATATTTGCAAATGTAGTTAAGGAAAAAAAGGGAGGATGAAATCATCCTGGATTAGGATGTGTCCTAAATTCAGTGGCAGGTATTTATAACATAAAATGCGAAAACAAGAAGAAACACATGGCAGAACAGCACCATGAGCTACCAGAAGCTAGACAGACTAAGAATTTTTCTTCCTGTAGAGCCTTCGAAGGGAGTGTGGCCCTGCTGATACCTTGATGTTAGACTTCTGTTCTCAAAAACGTGAGAGAGAAAAAAAAAAAAAAAGCTTAGTGTTTCAAGCCACACAGCTGGTGGTAATTTTTTATGTCAGCCATATGAAATTAATGTATTCTTAAGTTGGTTTTTTTTTCTGAAAATTGATGAAAAAATGCTTTTTTTTCCAGTTTTTGTTTTCCTAGAAGTAAATATCAATAGTTATTTCACATAAAAGCATCAAACATAATTTGAACAGATAAGAATTTAGATTGAATCCCAAGCACAAGTTCAAATTTTCAGATTTCATAAACACAGGAAAAGTAGTGTACAATATTCATTGGTCCTTTTTATGGAATTTGAAATATTTTTCATCTATGTTGAATAAGTAACATTATTAAATTATTTAGATGATATCCAAGAAAATATTAAATTCCATTTGTTCATTTACTCCTGAATTTTAAGTTAATGCGAACTTTTGCATCTGCTCTTTCCTTTAACAGGAAATAAGAACACATTTCTGTATCATGCTGGGGAATATAAATCAAATAAAACAGTTATATACTACTACATTTATGTTCTGTTCTTATTTTTAAGATCTTACATTTTTGAGAAATATATCTCTGAGAAGTTGATGAAAGCTCTTTCCAGTCCAAAAAAAATCTACATACACATTTGCTTATATAAGAAAATGTGTACGCTTTAGGAGGGAGATCACTAAATCCTTGAAATCTATCTACAGCTCCTCTTAGTTTAGATTTTTAAATTGGGGCCGATGTGGTGGCATAGCAGGTACAGCTGCCACCTGCAATGCCAGCATTCCGTTTCAGTGACTGACAGGTCATGTTCCAGTTCCCTGTTAATGGTCTGGGAAAAGAAGGGAAAGATGGCCCAAGTGTTTAAGCCCCTGCCATCCATGTGGGAGACCCAAATGAAGCCTCTGGATCCTGGCTGCAGCCTGCCTCAGGGCTATCTGTTGCTGCCATCTGGGGAGAGAACCAGAGAATGGAAGATCTCTCTCACACCAACACCACCACCACCACCACCACCACCACCATTCCATGATACTCCACTTTAAAAAAAAAATACTCCCAGGTTAAGAACATCTGAATCTACATAAGGGAATTATAGAGATGTGAAAGATATTCTGTAGTTTTTTGGTGTGATGTGTGCTATTAGATAAACTATCATTGTTTTTTCCCTTATACCTTGAAAGTACTTTGCTTAAAACTTGATTTATAATATTGACAATGATGCTTACTTTGGCAGCACATATTCTATGAGGAATATTAATATATTCTAATTTCATTAAATGAATTTTCTTGATAATATGAAGTTTTAAAATATTATATTCATATGTGCTAATTTATTCTGTATTCAAAACAAATTTTTCACAAGGAAATTTTATAGCAGAGTATGAAGGCATGGGATAAATACAGAGAAATCTGGTTCAAAGTAAATTATCATGAAAACAGGATCTCCAAAAGTTATGTGGCCTACTAGGAGAGAATGATCCCAATAAACTTAAAAAAATACCTCATCTGTCATTAGGGTTGCAATTGATCTGCCAATCTCATGGTACTGTTGACCCTTTCCTAGGGGTCCCAGAAGAATGAACAAAAATCTGTAAAAAAAGGAGAAAAAGAAATGTTTCCAAAAAAGAATTATAAAAATAATTTCAGTAGCACAGTATTACTCATATCAAAGTAATTAATTAAATGAGAATTCTGAAATTCTTCCATGGTTTTTAACAGTTCATTATTATTTTGAAACATTTTACAGTGATTGACTCTAATGCTTAAGATTCCTGAGCAATGCAGACATATGGCTATTTTTATCCTAATATTTCCCCATTTAGTTATCTATATAGCCTATGCAGTTGATACTGAGAATTTTAAGGATTCTAAAGTCCTTAGTGGAAGCGAGTGGGAAAGTAAAATATGATTCAACATTTCTGAACTAGAAGGAAGAAAACTCACCTGTATGAAAAATAGAGAATAGTTCAAAGGGGGAAAAAGAGGTAACATAGGAGTATAAACAAAAGCAGAATATATGGTCAAAAATACTAGATATATGTAAAATTTATATTGCCTATAAAAATTATTGTCAGGAATCAAACATCAGTTAGGCAGAATAAAATGAGCTAATAATCTATTAATTCCAATGCTAGGGAAATAAAATTAGCAATTGTACTACAATACTCCATCTAAATTAGCTCGAAGGTCTGGCAAATTCATCATTACAACTTGTACTTTTAAAGAAATCAATATGTTCTCTAACTTTAGAGATGTGGTAATTGCCCTGTCTCTGAGAAGGTCAATGCTTCAGGAAAATTGTGAAAATTAAAGTATGCCCTATATTCTGTGGTATAATTCTATGGTGTTAATTTGTTAAATGGTTTATGCTATAAAATGTGAAGACTAATGGCTTTATTAGGTGTTCTGAAGTAACTACTATAATTCAATCCTTCATTTGGTTATGATTTTAAAAGTTTGTACATATTTTTACATGAGGCAGATATTATACAACCATAATAGGTTATGACACTAATTTTTGTGTCAGTGTTAACTGACTCCAAGTCAATCTGTATTATATAGAAATAGCCACTACACGTTAAAAACAGAAATAGTCTAATATAGTAGCAGATGATTTATCAACTATCATACCTTTAAGTAATCTCTTAACCTATGGTATCTTGCTATTTTTCAGGCTTCTTTTTCATGGTTATTTTTAAAGCCCTAAAAGATTATTTTATGACATTTCTATGTGTTCCCAATATATTCATGGCATGCCCTTTTGTTCTCCTAAGAAGAGATAATTTGGAACCCCGAATAACATGTTTTATTTATCTTACTAATCTTATGTCTGTCATTATTCTCTTTTTCTAACTTATCTGTCATTTTTCACCTTTCTTAACTAAATAGTCTACTCTTTTGATTCTTTCCTTACAGAGTCACTCTATGGTGCCCCTAATTTTTCTTCCATTTTTCTGTACACATTTGCAATGTGTGTAAGAAAAGAGGTCACCTAAACCTGATATTTCTCAAAGGGAGGGCATAAAGTCCCATGATGACTTTTTTTTAGCCCTGCAAATTTTTCTTTTCTGTTCATTGAAATATAGGAACTATTACTGTCGTAAACAGCTACCATTTACTCAAAGTTCATCAGACACCCTCCTAATTTGTAGAATGCAATGACTGCTTTTATTACTGAGAAGAATTCTAGACTGCTAAAATAATGTCTGTATAAGTAGTACATTTGACATCTTAAATCTGAATTCCGGGTTCCCAGAAGCTCTGAATAGTTTATCGGTTGTGCATTAAAAAATATACTCTTAATCACAGTCAGCTGCACTTTGATACACTCAGTTCACCCTTCTCTTTTTAAAAAGAAGTTAGTTTGTATCAGAATCCTCAGTATCCCTCCACCAGAATAGACAGAAACTTCTCTCTATAACCTGAACCGTAACTAGGTTCCTCTCTCAAACCAGAGTCCCACAAAGGAATCCTGAATCTCATTCCAGCCAGTTGAGTCTTAACAAAATGAGGCCAGTCTTGGCTGATCTATTTCATACCTGTGGAATAGCTAATCTGTTATCAAAGCATGAGTGATATCATTTGCTATGTTTTGAGTTAAGGACAGAGATCTACACAGGGAACTTATTCTAGAAACCTAGTTGCTATAACACCTGCCTGTTTATCACTTTATCTTGGCTAAAGCATTCAATGTTTGGAAGAGGAAGCACTCTGGAATCATGAGACAGCCCTAGTGTCAAACACAAGCCTTCAGCATATAGGAAATGAGGCCCTAGACAATATGTTTCACTGTGTATACAAGACCAGAGTTAAGGCTATCTGTGTATAGGAATCATATTTAATGGTGGCAATGGGGGAGAAAACAAGGTTCCTGAATAAGTTACTGGGAACCTGATGTGCCAAGGAAATCAATATTAGTTTATTTCATCTTTCTTTCATTCTTTTTTTTACAGTATCTACCCATGGAAAGCACATATTCATAAAAATAGGGAGAATGATAATGTTACTTAATTGCACTAGAATTTTGAAGGCCTACTCTTACATAAGCAAAACTGTAGAAACTGATCTTTGAGCTAGACCACATTCCCATAAAGAATTCTCTTTCATAAGCATATAGTTTAATGTAATCTTTGAGGAATTTACCTAAAACATAAAAAAGGGCTTGTATAGTTAAACAGATCAGCGCACCTCAAGATGGGAAGCATGCTTAAAATAAAACACAGATGTTTGAAAGGGAGGAGCAAACGATAGACTTATTATTCTCCACAAATGAAAGAGACAACTATTTTGTGAGTTACACGTTAGTTACTAGCCAAAACTCCAGTGGAAAATGATATTTAATCCTCATTTTTCCCCAAAACAATAGCTTATGGCAAATTTTCAAAATGCTCTTATACTCTTTACCTGGTTGGAATTGGGACTTCAGCCAGTCCTTGAAGCAAGACAGCTGGCGACAACCTGACAAACGCCACTACAGTTCTATCCAAGAACTCCAATTCTCCCACTAAGATGTTTGACGCTTCAGCACCTGGAGGAATTTTTTTCATAAAATGTAGATCGACCTGTGAGCATTGCAAAGTAAATAAAAGGATATCAAAACTGGAAAAACTGGATAAACCATATCCTAGCAGGGTGCTTCACATAAGATAACCCATCTATATCTATATAAACAGACACACAACATCTCATTTGCCCTTTTGTCTATAAAAATAACTTTTCCTTTACTTTTGTGTTATTTTAATTTGACATTAATAAGATGAATACTGCAGTTTTTTATCCATAATTCCTTTTAGAAGAATATTCTTTAGTATCAGCAACCTTGAAATTTTAGGTGGGACAGTATATGCTGTTAAATTCACATTAACCACAACTTAATTAGTATTTGTCAATAGATTTAATATCTTCATAATACATTATCTTAAATTCTGTATGATATATATTTCAATTAATCCTCAAAATATGCATATTTCAAAATATATGTAACATGTTTCTCTTTATAGTACGATTTATGATTTTAGCCTTCATCTTTATTACTATTGCCTTGTATTCTTTACATTCTGTGTGGCCTGATAATTCTTCAACTCTCTACTTTCTCATCTGAGAATTTAGATTTCACAGAGTAGAGAGAACAAGAATTAAAGTATTAATATTTGGAGCTGCTGAAGTTCTGATATGAGATGTCTGTGATTGAAATGAATGCACATAAAACATGAGTGATCATTAACAAGAGAGGGTATAAGCTGAACAGATGAAGTTTGACAAATGAATGTAAAATATCTTTAAGAATAGATAGCACTTTTGATGAATAGGACATAAGTAAAAACTAAGCACTGACTTCAAAATAAATTTTATAAGGCCTATTTCTTGTTTCTGATTCAACTGAGTTGCTTTTTATGGAACTGTCTTCAGGGGAATAAGAATTTATGTGCTGTACTAATTGGTTTTATGCTCTGTTAATGAAATGGGGACCAACGATTGAAGCAAGAATAGCCAAGAGAGAGATGAAAGAGCTCTGGCAACTATAAGTGAGACTGAGATTTTTTTAGGCCAAATATTTTTTTATGTTTGATGATTTGAGCATACTTTTCCAAGAAGTTTAAAATGACAAATTTTAAACTTTTAGGAGTACCTTAGAAAATCCATAGCCAAGTTAGTAACTGCATTGCTTTCTGAAATTGAGACCTCAGTAAATCTATTTAGAAGGCTTATAATTAATTCTATAGCCCAAGGTATGGAATATACATTTGATCACAAGGATAAAATATAAAAAATAACTGTAGTACTCCATCCATCAAAAAATCACATAGAACCAATATTATATTTTATTTTTTAAAGATTTATTTATTTATTTGAAAGAATTACAGAGAGAGAGGAAGAGAGAGAGAGAGAGAGAGAAATCTTCTATCCACTGATTCACTCCCCAAAAGGCGACAACGACCAGGGCTGGACCAGGCCGAAACAAGGTCTCTTACATGCGTTCAGGGGCCCAGGCCCTTGGGCCATCCTCCACTATTTCCCAGTCACATTTGCAGGGAGCTAGGTTGGAAATGGAGCAGCTGGGACTTGAAGCAGAACCCATTTGGGATGCTGGGGTCACAGGCAGCAGCTTTGCCAACTATGCCACAGCATTGACTCCCCAATATTATATTTTAAAGGAAAGGAAGAATTATTTAACAAAGCAAAATTGCTTACAAAAAATATAGGATAATTATAAATTTCAAATTTTAAATCTATAAATATACCTCCAAATATAAATTTGAAAAGTCAAAAAAATACATTGGAAATGTTATATAGTAGATACAGAGAAATGCAAATCAAAACCACAGTGAGGTTTCAACTCACCCCAGTTAGAATGGCTTACATACAGAAATCAACCACACAAGATGCTGGCGAGGACGTGGGGAAAAAGGGACACTAACCCACTGTTGGTGGGAATGCAAACTGGTCAAGCCACTATGGAAGTCAGTTGGGAGATTCCTCAGATACCTGAATATAACCCTACCATTCAACCCAGCCATCCCACTCCTTGGAATTTACCCAAAGAAAATTAAATTGGCAAGTAAAAGAGCTGTCTGCACCTCAATGTTTATTGCAGTTCAATTCACAATAGCTAAAACATGGAATCAAACTAAATGCCCATCAACAGAAGACTGGATAAAGAAATTATGAATATGTACTCTATAGAATACAATACATCAGTAAAAAAAAAAAAATGAAATCTGGTCATTTGCAACAAAATGGAGGAATCTGGAAAACATCATGCTGAGTGAAATAAGCCAGTCCCAAGGGACAAATATCATATGTTCTCCCTGATCAGTGACAACTAACTGAGCACCTAAGAGGAAACCTGTAGAAGTGAGATGGACACTGGTGAGAAACAGTGACTTGATCAGCCCTTGTCCTGACTGTCGAGGAATAATTTACTATTTTATTCCTTTTAGTATTTTTTGTTCTACTTAATACCATTGATTGAACTCTTTAATCAACACACAATTATTCTTAGGCATTTAAATTTATCTGAAAAGGAAAAGTGATCCCCGTTAAATATAAGAGTGGGAATAAGAGAGGGAGATGTACAGTTCAGCACATGCTCACTCGGACTTACCCCTAATGGTAGAGCTAGAAACTTGCCAGGGGATTGCAATTCAATCCCATCAAGAACATAATCTTTTAACTTATAGGCAACAAAAATGTTTACTTGAATAAATAAAGTTTCATGAAGTTCATTATGTAATATTGTTTAAGATTTAAAGCAAGATTTTAGAGTCAGAGACCTCTAGCCAGAGTGGCATGGAGGAGTGCTTTTGTATTTAGTTTTCAAGGTAGGAGAAATGCACACATTAAAAATACTTTAAAATGTAATGCTTTACATTTTTACTATAATGCAGTTTCCCAAGAAGGGAATAAAAGATGTTCCATATACTATTTTACCCATGAGAAAACATAATAATATAATCTTCATAAGGTTTTCAGGGCCTAGGAGAATAAACAGTTCACCACCCTACTCTACCTTCCAGTGGTATACAAACCAATTATATAATATTAATATACTGAACCAGATCTTAAAATAAGAAATGAGATTTTTAAGAAAATTTATAATTGATAATCAAGATGAACTGTATTAGTAATACCTGAAGCTTAAATTTGACATAGAAATCTTTCTTTAAACTCATTTATTACTCCACACATGCTGTGGTCTTGAGTATTAAAGTCTGTGACTCAGACAAGTAGCAGTTAAAAAATATCTGCCTTTAGATGATATTTAATTAAATCAGGAAATTAATAGTATATGTTAAAAATAGTCTCATTTTATAACAGAAAAGATATGATTTTTTAAAATTACCCACCTACTATGTAATTAATACCAATTATTTAGAAAAGCATCAAAATACAGAGAATTTAATTTCAAGAGTAGTAATTGGACTTAAAATATAATCTATTACAGTTACATATCAAGGGTAGTCATTAAGCTATATTCTTCCTCAAGCAGGCATGTATTTGGGAGATAATAAATAATATATAACTATATTATTATATATATCTGTATATTCTATTAATCCTGGGTAGCTATATATTTTTATATTTTTATTACTAAATAAGCCTTGAAAAATCTTATTTGGCAATGTACTTTTTTAATACAATGTTCAAAGACCATGACTTAACATTCATAAGATTGTAACTACCTAAAACAGCCTGGGGACCTAGGTTAAATTAAGATAATCTTCAGGTGGACTCAAACACTTGGAATAGACATAGAAATCCTGGCATTTTCTGATCCCCTGAACAGGCTCTTGAAGGAACCAAGCTACACTCTAAAGTCTAGATTTGCACTCATGTTTCTGGGTACTCCAAACCCCACTTTTACACTAAGAAGGGGAAGCTCTTTTACTTTTAGACATTCAAAATGTGAATGAAAAACAGTTGTATCTCAAGGAAACAAGATTATACAGAAGACCACAGTGGAGATAGAAGTGTCTGGACAACGTACATACCAAGAGATGCAAGAAAAACTGACAGAATTTTAGGGAGAAAGTTTAACCCCTATTCCCATTTTAAAATTCAAGAAATTTAAGAGACCCTCAATGTGGGGAGCAACTCGGACTAGACTAAGTTACTGGAATTAAGACTTATTCTATGCATCTGCTCTCCCACAATATGGCGCTGGGAGAGGAGGAAACAGCTTCTACACAGCTGCCTCCAGTTCAACCAATAAACAGCAGGACCTGCTCCTGATTGCAGGAGAGCAGCGTACTCGGCGTGTGGGTAGCAGAGTTGGGATTGGCGGAAGAGGACTATAAAGGAGGAGAGAGACAACATGCACCGGGAACATCTATCTGAAGGAACACCTGTGCAGCCCCCGAGAGAGCCGGCCAGCGGTGTGCCGCTCCCCCGCGGAAGTGGGGAAAGTGGCAGGGGGAACCACCCTTCCACGGAGGTGGAAGGGACGGTAGCCAACCCGGGAAGAACCAGCAGCAAACCCGGGGAGGGCCGAGCAGACCAAAGAACAGCGCAGGGTCCTGTGTCGTTCCCCCTCGAAGAGGGGGAGTGACACCTCAAGAACTTATGTCTGTTTTTTTTTTTTAAATTTACTTATTTGGGGGCCAGCGCTGTGGTGCAGCTGGTTAACACCCTGGCCTGAAGAGCTGGCATCCTATAGGGGCGCCGGTTCTAGTCCCAGGTGCTCCTCTTCCGACCCAGCTCTCTGCTATGGCCTAGGAAAGCAGTAAAAGATGGCCCAAGTCCTTAGGCCCCTGCACCCACGTGGGAGACCCGGAAGAAGCTCCTGGCTCCTGGCTTTGGACTGGCGCAGCTCCGTCCGCTGCGGCCATCTGGGGTGTGAACCATCGGATGGAAGACCTCTCTCTCTCTGCCTCTCCTCTCTCTATGTAACTCTGACTTTCAAATAAATAAATAAATCTTTAAAAACTTTACTTATTTGAAAGCCAGAATTATACAGAGGGAGGAAGAGACATGCAGACAGACACACACACACACACACACACACACAACACATAAACACGGAGAGAGAGAGAGAGAGAAAAATCCACCATCCACTGGTTCACTCCCCAAATTCCCACAAAGGGTACAGCTGGGACTGGCTAAAGCCAGGAGTTTGGAACTCCATTTGGTTCTCCCACAAGGGTGGTAAGGGTCCAAAATATTTGGGCCATATTCTGCTGCTGCCCTGGACACATTAGCAGCAATCTTTTTAGGATGTGGAGTAGGTAGGACTTGAACTGGTGCTCAGATGCCTGCATTGCAGGTGGTGGCTCAACCCACTGAGCCACAACTCTGGCCCTGAGAAATGATGTCTTGAGAAAAACTGGCCAGTGATCTTGAGTAGCTCTCTTAATCTCTCTGGGATTTGGCTTTCTCACTAACTCAGTGAGAGGATGTCTAAGGTTTCCTACAGTTCTACAATGTAATAATGCAACTCTTTGTAATACATTTCACATTCTTTTTTTTTTTTTTTTTTTGACAGGCAGAGTGGACAGTGAGAGAGAGAGACAGAGAGAAAGGTCTTCCGTTTGCCGTTGGTTCACCCTCCAATGGTCGTCACAGCTGGCGCGCTGCAGCCGGCGCACCACGCTGATCCAATGGCAGGAGCCAGGTACTTATCCTGGTCTCCCATGGGGTGCAGGGCCCAAGCACTTGGGCCATCCTCCACTCTACTCCCTGGCCACAGAAGAGAGCTGGCCTGGAAGAGGGGCAACCGGGACAGAATCCGGTGCCCCAACCGGGACTAGAACCGGGTGTGCCGGGGCCACAAGGCGGAGGATTAGCCTAGTGAGCCGCGGCGCCGGCCAATACATTTCACATTCTGACAACAGAGGCAGAAGAAAGTCTTCTGTACACAGAAAATTATGTGAAACCTTCTTTGGATCATTTGAAATAGGAAATATATGAACTACATAAAATAGCTGTCTTCTATGGTCAGTTTGTGAAACAAAGAAACATAGTGTCTTGACACATCTGCTTCTTGAATACACTATAAGAAGAGCTAAATCCAGACAGCTAAGATAATCCTTGAATGAGTAAATTTGATGGGCCTATCCATGGAAGGGATTCAATATATGTAGATAACATATAGTATCAAATCACATGAAATGAATAGCCTTTCTTTAACTTAACTACTCTAAATTTGATGGGGTGTGGAAGCTACATATTAAAGCTTCAAATACCTAAATGGACAAAGAAACCTAGAAATTAGCTGAGCTATGATAAATTCATTGATAAATTGAACTCATTAAGCTAAAAGATGTTTAACTCACACAACTGCAGTATCTAGCAGTAAAATCTGTTTCCACAATGATAAATCACAACTGTTCTTTCCAAACCCTACTTCTCTACCTTCTTAAGCTATAAAGAGTTCATCTTTTTTTTTTTTTTTAATTTCAAAACTAAAGGCCTAAATGTTCTTGCAGGATACATTCAACAAATTCATCCCAAATACTCTTCAAGACACTAAAGACCCAGTAAAGATCAAAACATATTAAATCCTGGTCCGGCATTTGACACCCCTGTTTCCAGTATAATTAACAACAATATCAGTAGTAGTACTAACATTTTGCTGAGCACTTACTATTTGCCCAGTACTTTTCCAGGCTCTCTTTTTATATTATGTCATTAAACTCTACAATGAAACTGTAAATAGTTATTAATCATTATTTTATAAGTAAGAAAGCTGAAATTTAGAAAAGTTCTCCAATATCAGACAGCTTACAAATGATAGAGTGATGATTAAAGATCTCTTTCTTAAAAAGCTATGCTCTTTCCAATGTGTCATATTAAAGACTAGGAAGACACTTGGATAGCACTAAGCAAGAGATTCTAGAAAGTTTAATTTGATTATTAAAACAGGAATGCATCAGTGAATGGAAATGCAATGAAGAATAAAAGGATTAAAGGAAGAAAATCTATTTTTCACTTTCTGTACTCATGATTGTTGTGAGGAATCTGAAGATGAGACAACCGTCTCCAGTTGGCAATATTCCTTTATGTTCCTAAGTGATAAAGAGTATTTATGAAGGATGCAAAGATAGGTCACACAACTTAAAAAAATTAATATGGAGATAGAAAATTCAATGTAATAGGGTTATATTACTTTTAAAAGTTAAAATATAATAGATTTCAAAGGATGAACTATGTGGTTTATAATCATTATTTTTGAGGCTGTTAAATTTGCCCTTGTTAGACTGTTAATGCTTGTATAAATAAACAAGAAACTTTTATAATTGCTGTTAAGATATTGTGTCAATTTAAGAATGTCAGAAATTAAAGATACAGTAGTTTGTGACAATTTTATTCCAACTTGCAGATGAATGAAGATGTAATGTTTTAAAAGGTAACTTTTAAAGTGGCAGATGGAATACATTTGAATTGACCTTAATATTTGAATCACATGCCTCCACACAGTGAAATGAGCTTTGAACCACTGTAGAAATATATCCCAAAAATGCCCTCACCTCTCTCTCTTGCTGGTGTGGAGGTCCTTTTTCATGCCTTTGTTTCATCCCACATGGACTAGTTTGCCCCTTTTGTTGGCCTCCCAGTCCCTGCACGCATAATTAACAGACTTAAGCTGGTACACCATGCTCCCACAGAGACTCCACCAGGCACCAGAGAGCATGCACATAACTAGAATTAGATCATGTAGGCATTGACATGGGGACTCGAACACAGGTCAAAGGTTCAGAACCTTGATTCAGGTTACTTCCTTTATGGCTGCTGCACATTCCCACCTCTTCCCACTGTTACAGTTATTGCTAGTATTAAGGGAATTGTTAAAATATTTCACTGAGTTACTACTCAGAGTTGCAGCCACTCAGATAAGGAGAGTGGTCCACCCTCCTTATTTTTGGTCATATTGAAACTCCTCTTTTCAACTCTTACTGTGCCATTATGTAACAACAGTGCATATACAATACCAGGAATATGTTAGCCAAAAGCGCATTATATCCACTGACTCATTATTTTCTCAAAACAGATTCTGTCTCCAGTTAGAGGTGTCCCTCCACATACTCAGTCCTTAATACATTTTTATTCAAAACTCTGTACAGTTTTACCTTGTTTGCACAAGATTTCCTTACACTAATGCCTTTCTCCGTATTATAATTACAATGAAGCATTACATTATGAAATGCTTTCCCACAAATAGAGAAAAAGTAATTATGAAAACAAAATGAGCAACAATTTTAAACAATAACTTAAATTTCTTTAGTATTTTCCGTAAGGTTCCTGTTCTTGTTATTGGAAGAGATACATTCTATCAAGTGGCTGAACCCTGAAGATTATGAGTAAAATCCTGTGGGCTTAATGAAATAGAAATAATAATTTAAAAATTTGACAGTTTAAAGCTTTGGCTAAGAAACAAAAAAAGTACATGTTAAAAATTGTGTCAACACCTTTTAAAATGGGTAGTAATCTCTAGTAGCAATTTAGCAGCTTACTTAGATGAGAGGGAAGAATGCTTACCTTGCTAAAATCAACAGTGCTGTTTTCTCTGCTAACATCATTTTTGTTTTCAACACTGGCTGGAGCAGACTGAGGAGAGACAACCTGACCTGCTAAAAGAGATTGTTATTACAGAATACAAACAATTACTTACATAGTTCTAGACATATTGAGTGAAGTATGAACTTCAATTAAAACTAGACTAACAGGTTTCTTAATGAATTTATGATGTGAGCATGAAAGGCCAATATAAATAGATTTATATCAATATGAAAGTTCTTATTTATCAGTTCCAGATAGAAATGGGAGAATTCAGTCGAGAAAATTGAATTAAATTTACAGATTAAAACTCTAAAATATTAGTCTACACAGAGAAATCATCTATGAAAATACCTAAATACAACTATGAATTTTCAATAATTTCTAAATACCAATTAAAGCTATATAAAAAAGACGAGATAGATGTCTGTTAAGATTTCAGCTCAAACTGAAAAAATTTAAATGTAAAGCATAAGAAGACAAACATTTAGCTGAAAATTGCACAGCATAATTTTAAATTTTTATTGCATCTAAATAGCCAAACAAATAGGAAAAAGTTATTTGGCAATAACTTTTAGAGATTTCTGTAGGTGGGATTCAGTTAAAAGTATGGTAGCTAGATTCTGGGAAACTTCCACCAACTTCCCAGAAAATCTATGAATATTCCTCCCCTTTATTAGGATGTACCTCCTCTTTCCTGAAACAATCTATGTACTGTTAAACAGTTTACAGATGGGACCATCCCCTCTGCACTCTGCGATGTGAGAAATATCAATAAATTTGAATTGTGTAAGTTTTCCATTAATGCTAACTGAAAATTATTTTGCAGTTCTTTTCCACATATTATTTTAGTGGATGGTAGAGCTGGGAATGTGACAATGACTAGAATAGTTTAAATTCCACCATTCACTATGAAATATTTTTTTTAAAGATTTATTTATTTATTTATTTGAGAAGTAGAATTACAGACAGAGTGAGGGAGAAACAAAGAGAAAGGTCTTCCATTCTCTGGTTCACTCCCCAAATGATTCCAATGACCAGAGCTGAGCTAGATCTGAAGCCAGGAGTTTCTTCTGCGTCTCCCACATGGCATGGGGGCACAAGCACTTGGGCCATCTTACACTGCTTTACCAGGCCATAGCAGAGAGCTGGATCAGAAGAGGAGCAGCCAGGACACAACAGGCACCCTCCGCCCTAGGCGGAGGCTTAGCCTACTATGCCCACTATGAAATCTTCTTTGCAATCACAGGCAATCTGAGACCTGTTCACAGTTAACAATTAAATGACAAAAATAAACTAGATTTACTTATTTCAAATGTATCCTTCTTCTTTAACTTCTTATTTTCTCTTGCTATTTTTAGGGTGAAATAAGTAATAACAACCTAAATTTGAAGCTGTGCCAAAATACATCTCTTTTTCTCATCAGTCTTAGACATGTAAATTATTCTCCCCACCTAAGTCTCCCTTCTACCTAACTCTCAATTTTATTCATGGATGCACCTGTAGTCTCATCTTCTCAAACTGCTGTAATCTCTCTAAAGTCCATGCGCATATTTTTAAAACAATATTTTCTTTAAATTTTCTCCTCAAAACCCGCTTGTTCTTTGCTAGGTAGAAATTAACATGTGATTAAAAATATTACTTACTTTAAAATGTTACCAAAGTTTTGCTTCTGGACTATAAAAACTCTTAGGCAAGATTCATTTATTAAGTTACACTTTTTGAAGGCTTAAAATTGTTGTATTGCCAAACTGTAATAAGCTTAAGATTCATTTACAACTTAAATACTTCTATGCTAACACTAAACAAACTAAAGTAATATATTTAGTGAAAACAAAAATAAAAATAATTTTGAAACATATTGACCTCAAGCCATGGTCACAAATTCTGATAAGAGTATATTCCAGGGAAACAAATAAACTTCAAAGAAATGTCACATAAGCTACCTAGGCTATTCTCATTCTCCCATTTCTAACTGCAGTGTGCAGGTATGACTGTGAACCATTCATTAGCAGCCATTCAATTTACAATTTTAAAAAACCTCTGACATAATGCATTTGTGCTACTAACAGATGTCTTCAATCACCAGTTTCACATCATTTCTCCATATTTTCATGAGTTACAAGGTCATATATATTTAAACATAAATTTATTTAATGTTCTGTAAAACTGAGCAGTGAAACTAAAGTTATGAAAAAATAAAACAAAAAAGTATCTGCTTTCTTACAATAATTTATTTCATCTGGTATAAAACTATAATTGTTTAATTCTGTCAGCAAACATATACAAAAGAAACGTGAACCATGTGAAAAATCATCAGCTTTGAAAAGATTTAATTTGGTAGAAAATATACTGGAACTTAAAATTTGAAAATTTTAAATGTTTATGTATTCATTTGTACACTTCAAGCAGAATATGTCATAAAGTAGCTTCAGCTCATGCCATATGTTTAAAACACTGACACTTGTATTTCCTCTTGTAATTAATTATAATTAGTATGGCAATATTATATGTACTATTCATAGGGATTAAAATATTTTGAGACTTCTTGTGCTATGCTATTGTTCTAAAAGAATACAAATTTTTATAAAAGACTATCTTATAAAGTTAATAACCAGGAAGAGATTTAGAAAGTATTTTCTATGACTATTTTCAAGAGCTGTACTAGATGACAGGAAATTCCCTTCTAGGTTCCACATATGTTTATTGAATGTATGCTATTAAGGAAAAAAGTATTAAAACTACCAGTCTATGGTAGAGGAATATAAACCACAAGTTTCATATCTTTTATTTTTTTGGAGTAGTAGTTAGTAATAAATGTAAGTAGTTAAATACATTTAATTGTATGAGAAGTCCTGCAAAAGTTTAAAGAACATCTCAAATCTTGGTATAATTTCTAAAAATATATAATTCATTCAAGAGAGATATTAAATGTATGGATATCCAATGTATTTTTTTGACAATTTGAAAAGAGACAAAAAAAAGTATGGATATTATTACTTTAAAATGAAACAAGTTTAGTTTGGGATATTTTGAAAAAAACAGAGGTCTTTAAATAAAGATTGGAATTTGATTTGCTATAATACAAAATTAAAATTCACATAGGAATCATGGTCCAGAGAACTATTGGATACAAAATAAATGAAAATACTTTTTAATTCTATTATCAATTAAAATATTTGTCTTATACTTATCTATTTTATATTTCAGTTACTACCACCAGTCAGAAGACGATGGACTTGGATTTTAAATTAAATTTCATTAACTCAAATGCTATTATGTATAAAGAATCAATACAATTAGATTTTGAATGAGCATATCTTTTTTTTATGATATCTAAGGTAATACAGTTTAAAGAATGACAAATTTTGGTACAAGATTTTACCTTCAATCAGAAGTGTGTTTCCTAATAGAGTAATAATGAATTTGCTAAGATATTATCTGCCCAGAAAAATAGTATGAAGTTAGGATTTAGTATTTACATATGTGTGGAAGCTTTATGAATCAGAATTTTATTATTTTTCTAATTACTATCCCATTATTGTAAACATGTTTTTGTTTACTTCTTTGAATTACTTTTACTTTGCCCATTGATCACCACCCATATGTCCTGTAAGCAAATATCATTGTAATGTTAAATTTCCTTTGTTATTGTGACATCTAAATGAGTTTTAGGTATGACTGTGAAAAAAGGCATTTGAATCAGTAGTCTTAGTCCATGCAGGATAAAATGTTCAGAAACTGATGAAAAGTGAGTATCATTAGTATCAACTGATTAGTGTTTAAGACTGTTCAGGAATGGGGAATGTCCAGCCCATGGGCCCTATAAGGCCTACAAAATCATTTGGTCTACTCCTGCCAAGATAACATAAGCAAGATTCAACATTAAATAGATCTATAGCAGGTTAATTTTTAAATTGATAATTTTGTTTGATCCACAAGTGATGTTATAAATATGCAAATGGCCCTTGGCAGAAAAAAGGTTTCCCACATCTGATAAACATTTGAAAAATCAAACATCATCCTTCTCTACCACAGTTTGTTTTCTAGCTTGTTAAATTAAAAGAATTCTTCATCTTAAATACAAATTGTAATTTATTTATATATTAGAAATTAATGTATGAATTACATGATATTCATATTAGCATCTGTTTGAATTAGTACTCTGTGAATCATTAATTCATGTTTTTCCTCTGAACTTCCATGTAGGGATCATATATCAGTCACATACAGTTATTAAAGGACATGTATTTTGCTAGGGAAATTTATAAAAGATGTAGGAAATCATGGGAGAAAGCTGACAGTAATTCAAACTGCTGACTAGGGAATGTAAGCGCCACGTTTCTGCTTGCTGTAAATGTTCTCAAAGTCTACTGAGAGACTGGCATAATAGCTTCCTTCCTCATAAAGTTTTTGGGAGAAACATGAGATTACATAAAATATATTATTTCATAATTTTATGAAATATGAATATTATCAAAGCACCTGATTGAAATAGTAAATATGTTCTCAAAGAATCTGCTGAATATTATAGTAAGTCATTTAAGTCCTGGCTATAGTTCTCTTCTTTAAATAAATTATGTACATATGTATTGTAAAAGAGCAGCTTTTAAATTTCTATTTGGCCAAATTAAAATCAATCGAATAACATATCACTTAAGTATATCATTATTTGCAGCTGCGAAATCCACTGTAAATCGTGTGCACTAGAAGGAAACTGGGATGAAGACATGGAGGTACAAAACTATTAACCTAGAGACCAAGCTGGTTTACACTACCTCAGAAACCTTCAACGCATTTAGAGTACCCAAAGGGTAGGAGATGAGGGAGGTACAGAGATGAGATGAGCCTGTTAGAGACAGACACAAGACAGAGCAAAATAAAGAAATATAAAGATGAATGACAAACTTACATACATGTGTAACAATACATTTATCCATGGGAATAGAAAACATAAAGAAAGAAGGGCTAAATATTTAGAAAATGTTGATTAGGTGAGCTATACTTCAAAATATGAAGCATGCACATAATTAAACTATGAGAAAAATCAGTGTGCCTAAAAATCATTAATGTACTAAATAACACATTTAAACACATCATACTATAAATATGTTTGCTGTTAAGATGTAGTCTAGACATTCAAAAACTCAGTAACAGCAATATAGCCTCTGAACAGACCCATCAGTTGCATCAAAAATGTCATATTGATTTTCTTAGAACAGTGAGAAATATCTTTATTAAACAATGTTTAATTCCTTCATCTACACAAATCTTTTCATATGTTTTCTCTCAGGCAATTCTAAGAACTATTATTCTAGTTTATTTTCTTCAAAGATAGAACAGTATGAGGGATAAAATTGAAACCTTCAGTATCTTATTTATGAAACTCAGTATTTAACAAACAAGAAAGTATATAAGTATCTAAACACATGTCAACACGAAGCATCCAAAAATAAAAAGTAAAGCATTTGTAAAAGAAATGAATATAAGGCAATAAACCAGACTTCCAAAAACTATAAATATAAGTCATTCACAATACATATGTGTACATTGCTTTAGGGGCTGGAATCTACCCAGGCCTAAACAGTCAACATATACCCAGTCCTTCCAAATCTAAATGTTCTCTGAGAATCTGTAGCTTTGAGCAGTAAATTAGAGATGTTTCTGCTGTGCAACTCCTCTCAAGATCCTAAATAAAAGCTACAACTAGAAAGTATCTAGATTAGGAAGTAGGAAAGATACATGAAGGAAAGGAACAGAGTTAGAAATTATTAGTAAGGAACCAAGTGGAATGAAGACACCTATACCAACAAAACTAAGATTTCCAGATTATTTTCAGGAATGCAACATTTATCACAAGGGTGATAAATTTTAAAATAGGTTGGTAGCCCAAACATCTCAATATAAATAAACATATGGATTAAGTGATAAATACAACTCCTGGTATATTTTGCTTTCTAGGTCACTTATCACAAAAATCAAATACTTATTTTTAGAAAATCTTTCTAGTTTCAGGGAATTATTTGAACATTTTTGATACATTTATTTTGAGTACTTTCCATCCCTACCATTTAAGGGTTCTAATGTCAAAGTAGATCTTATTTTTCTATTATTTTTGCTGTTGTTTTGCCAAATGTAACTGTCACTTTTTATTGAAACATCAGAACCAAGCATTTTAATTCTCACAGTTTTGATGCTTAATGAAAAGTGAAAGTTAAACACAGCATGGCGGCATTAAAAATGCATGGTGAATCCATAGCATCCTGCATCTTAGCCCTGAAGAGAATGTGCAGAATACCAAGGAAAGAATTATACAAAACAGTAAACTAGTGTATTTGGATGTGAGATTGACATCATTTCAAATTACTAAAAAAGGTATGAACAAGAAAGTATGGAATTGTGGAGAAGAGGAGCAAAGAAAGAAACTATTTTGTTCATCTAATCTACACAATGTGGGATATTCACATTTTAAGTACAATGTATGAATGTTTGACTAGAAGGAATATATTACTAAGGAAGCATGCTCTAGGAACAGGCAATTAAGGAAGAAGAAAACCTATTTCATGTGACTCTTTTAGATTTCCTTATGTGAGCATCAGTCATTCGCCAGGGAATTTCTATTGCTTTGCCTCTAAAAGAAAAATACATTAGACAAAAGGAGGGAACTTACTTCTAGAAAGAAAAAATGTGTTCTGTTTTCAAGTTCCTAGAAAATATTCACTTTACTTAATTCCTATTCTATAATCTTAAAAGAAAAAAACAACCTCTTTGCATAAAACATTTTAATGTAGAATATTTTTAAAATGTTAAGAATTACCCTTTGGCATGCTTTGAAATCTTTTTGTATCTCTGTATTAATTTACAACATTAAAATACCTGGCATATTCTGAAATAGATATCAAATCTATATTTATGGTTATGAATTTCACATTGTTTATCTAGTAGAGATTGTCAGATTTTAGAGTTCATAAGTAGATTGAGAACCTTAGTAGTAAAGGTCTTTCACACTTTCCCCCCCACTTCTGGGTAGGAGATTTATTTCTAAATTGGTGAAGTCTATACATATTTTCAGAATTCTCAACACACATAATTATGTAAAGTGTGTGAGGAAGCAAAACAGAGTCATAAGGAAGTGTTATAAGCCTAGGCTTAGAAAACCACTTACTGACAGCATACTCTACAACAATACTTAATTGGATATATGAATCTTGTTATAAATGTTTCCAAGATTTTATTGCCCTAACGTATGCCTCGGAAAGATGTGTGTGTGTTCAGATAAAGGCTGATTGTACAGATGGTGAAAGAAACACTTGAGAACCACTCAGATTCTAGGTTTTGGAAAAACTAAGCCATTTCCTGAATAAGACAAAGGAAGCTCTCAGAAAATCTTGTATCTATGTGTGTCTATATGTAAACCTGTGATTCGTGGCTAAAATTCTATCAATTCTTCTTATGATGAACTGAAGGTTAAAGCAGTAAGGCAGTATCTATGTTTGCATGTTATTACAATAAACAATTAATCCAGTGAATTCCATACCCTCTTTCTTCAAAAAATGTAACAAAATTTTTGTATAGTAAGCATTAACTCAAGGAAGTTTTGTTTATAAATTTGAGTAATTCACAAGTTAATATCCTTACCTCTTAAATAAACACATATTTTATTACAGATATATTTTATTGTCTTATTCCAGTAAAAGCAATGAAATAAAGACTAAAGGCTTTTTCTCAAACGTGTTTATATTCTAAGAAACTTTATGGATATATATTACTGTAAGATTTATTTATTTTAAAGGCAGAATGACACAGGGAGAGACAGAGGCAGAAGGAGAGGGAAAAAGATTTTCCATCCTCTGGGTCTCTTCTCAGATTCACTCAACCAGGTCTAAGCCAGGGTGAAGCCAGAGGCCAGGAACTGCATCCAGATTTCACAAATCGGTGACAGGGGCCCAAATACTTGGACCATCTTCTTGCTGCCTTCCCAGGCACACTAGCAGTGAGCTGGATCAGAAGCAAAGCTTGAATGCTTTGAATGACTTAAATCACCACTCCGTTACGGAATGACAAGCTTCATAAGCTGCAGCTTAATTCACTACACCACAACACTGGCTTTTCATGAGTGTATTTTAATAAGTTTTTTTAGTCATGTACACATAAGGCTATAGTCAAATTGGTAAATATCTCGTCTGTTTTCTTAACATAACCAAACACTAGAATTGTAATTGTAATAAACAGCACTAAATTTATATCTCCCAGATTATAAAAGCTTTTCTTTGTCATTTTTATTTATCACATCATTTAAAGCAATCTGTGATTTAGAATATAAGTGTATTTTAAATATATGACAACATTAAGCAAGTTACATATCCTTAGAGTGGTGGATGGACTCTATAAATAACAAGTTGGCATATATGGCAACACTTTATTTGCACCTTATATATACATAACTGTAGATTTTTATGTAATAACAATGATTTCAATAACATTTGGTCATTGATAGGTCTTAAAAATCAAATGAATATTTGAAAAATAATTTTGCTGTTAAGAATCTATTCTGGGGCTGCTGCAGTTGTGTAGTAAGCTAAGCCTCTGCCTACAGTGCCGGCATCCCATATGGGTGCCAGTTCAAGTCCCAGCTGCTTCTCTTCCAATCCAGTTCTCTGCCATGGGAAAAGCATGAGACAATGGCCCAAGTGCTTGGGCCCCTGCATCCATGTGGGAGACCTGGAAGAAGATTCTGGTTGCTGGCTTCAGAAAGGCCCAACTCTGGCTTTTGAGGCCATTTGGGAAGTAAACCAGCAAATGGAAGACCTTTCTCTCTGTCCCTCCCTCTGTCTGTACCTCTTCCTCTCAAATAAATAAATAAAATCTTTTTTTAAAAAAAAGAACCTATTCTATATTCTGAAGCAAAATTACGTCTATGTATCCTAAAGCTTTTTTCTATATTTTTGTGTATATCCAATTCAATAATATGAAAACTGGTGAAAATTCCTATATAAAGCAGTCTATAGAAAACTCAATTTTCATATATTTATATTTAAAGCATTTCTGAAGCTCTTTTTCACTCCCAAAAGTAGGAGTGAAAAACCTATAAAATATTCCATGCTATCAATATGTGTGCTTTAATCCATTTGTGATATCAGAGTCTTTCCAATAAAGCATTTGAAAATACTTACTGCTAATTTTTATATTTTAGAAGTGGAAAACTTTTATAGCTGATAGAATTTAAAAATTCATGTCATCTGCATGGTGATTCATTTTCCTTCATGAGACTAATGGAAAGGATGATGATAAAGGAGATTCCTAAGCAATTTCTTTGATGTAAATGATGAAGGGTTCAACACATGCCAAGGAGAGAACAATGTACGAGAAGGATAAAATAGTCTGAAGCGTAACCGTAGTAAGTCACGACTGCTAGAAAATGATAGGAAACGATGATGGTCATCTGTGTTTGTATGTGAAGACAGAAAGCAGGGTGGCACGTAGAATGTTGAAAATGCTACTATGTAAACAATACTAAACCCATGAACTAGAGTCAAACTTAATTTGTGTAGAGCCACAAGCAAAGCACTGGCTGGTCTCTTTAATTGTAACTGCTGGTGGAATCTGTGCACTGAGTAACATGAAACCCATTTGTTTTTCCCACAAACAATAAGTTTTGATAATTGTCTATTCTATTCAAAGACCATATACAGCATAAATCAAAACAATGCCTTGCATTCTCAAGTTACACAGTAGAGAATCAGTCATTCTACGGGATTACTAGTTGCTCTGTATGTTTGTTGCATTTGAACCTGTAAGTTCTTACTTTATATTTTCCCTTTATATTGTTTGGTGAACCTACCAGAAAACTTAAATGCTTTGTTAAAATTTCTACAATTTTATACTGGGTAATAAGACTATACATACAGTATATGCACATAAAAACAAACAATTCTACAATAATCTGAATTTTAAGAAATCATTTACAAATGAAATATATATTAAATGACATAGAAGCACCCTGATATTTCAGAGACCTATGGTATACAAAAATAACACAACAGCTAAATACTTACCATTCTTATCCATGGAATTTGGTTCTGACTGTTTCTTGCCAATATCAGCAAAGGAGCGGACAATGGGAATCCTGTTGGTGAGTTTTTTCTGATTCTGGTGGTGATGCTGTTTCATCAGTGCCTCATGGACTCTGTGGCGCACATCTTCATTCAGCTGACCTGAGCTCACTTGTTGGTCAAGCACCATATCTGGAGCAGAAACGTAGGAAGAATATGAACACAGCTGTCACACATGTGCCAGAAGTGAATCACTGATTTCAAATAGGCAGACCCTAAATACTATTATTCATCTTAAGATAGGAATGAATTCTTGGGGGTGGTGGTATTGTGTAAAAGGTTAAGCTGCTGCCTGCAATGCCCGTATCCCATATCAGAGTACTAGTTGGGGTCCCTGCTGTTCTGCTTCCAATCCACTCCCTGCTAATGTACCTAGGAAACCAGCATAGGAAGGTCCGACTCCTTGGACCCCAGATACCCATGTAGGAGACCTGGCTGGAGTTTCAGGCTCTTGGCTTCTGACTGGACCAGCACTGGCTGTTGTAGCCATTTGGCAAGTAAAGCAGTAGATGGAAAATTTTTTTCTCCCTGTCTCTTCATCTCTCTCTGTAACTCAACCTTTCAATAAGTAAGTCTTTTAAAAAACAGAATATAAATAAAGAAATAAATAAATAATAGGAATGCAGTATTTTAAAAATCTCTAAGTATGGTGTTATAAACTGAAGAATAACTTTTTCCTATTGAAATGTTATACAAGAAAGACTTGTGCAAATTTTCACTAGAAACCATCCAATTAATTTTAAAGGTATACTAATTATGGATTATTTTTCAAAAAGATAAATTATGTTGAGAAAAAGTTTCTTTGTGTTTTCCAGTATTCGCAGGGAATAAAGCTTCTTCCCCTCCTAAGTGTAAGGTTTAACCTCAGGCTGATTTTCCTTAGGGTCATAATGTGATTGCCAGTCATGACAAGAAACTTTGTTCGCATCTAGCAAGAGGCTAGCTTTTTGTGACTTTCTCTTAAAAGAAGAGTTCTTTTTCTCTTGGCCAGAAAAATGTTCAAGTCTACCTGATAAAGCCCTCTCCAATTTAAACCAATCTCTGTCAAATAAGATATTCAAATGATTGTTTACACTAATCAAGAACTACCATTCACTCTGGGGTTAATTCTCAAAATCAGAGTTCAACAAACTTTTTGTGATGATCCAGATAACATCAGAGTACTTGAAAAAAAATTGTGGTGATGGAAAGAAAAGATAAGCTTATGTTGGTGCAAAACATTTTGAAATCCATGTATCAGAAGGGTCTTCAAAACACTCATGGGAAAGGCCCTTTAAAAGAAAATTTTCCAGGCCCTCAGGGGTCTGCGCTGTGGCATAGAGGATAATGCTGCCACCTGCAGTGCAGACATCCCATATGGGCGCCGGTTTGAGTTTCGGCTCCTCCACTTCCGATTCAGCTCTCTGCTACAGCCTGAGAAAGTAGTACAGGTGGCCTAAGTCTTGGGCCCCTGCACAGGCGTGTGAAGACCAGAGGAAACTCCAGGCTCCTGGCTTTGGATTGGCGCAGCTCCGGCTTTTGTGGCCAATAGGGAAATGAACCAGTGGATGGAAGACGTTTCTCTCTCTCTTTCTCTCTCTCTCTCTCACTGCTTCTCCTTCTCTCTCTGTGTAACTCTTTCAAATAAATAAATAAATTTTTAAAAAAAAAGAAAGAAAATTTTCCATGGATTTCAAAACATTTTCACCAAAATAAACTCTGAAAATTATTTTTCAATGAACTTGTTGAAATATCCTCACAGATGTTTTAGACTTGTAGGCCATATGATCTCTGTCATAGCTACACTACTTGCCTTTATAGCACAAAAATAGCTGCAGACAACATGTACACACAAAAAATGGTTGTATTATAATCAAACCTTTTTGTGGCCACTGAAATCTGAATTTAATATGATGTTCCCATCACAGTTTATTCATGTTGCTTTTACCACTTCTCAACCATGTAATACGTAATCACCATTCTTAGCTCAAAAGACCTACAGAAACAGGCAGCAGGCCATATTTGGAGTATGGGGCATGGTTCACTCTATCTCTTTTCTTTTACAATAGAAAGACATAGACTAAATAGTGGGGAATCAGCCATAATATATGCCTGAAATGCTTGGAATTTAGACACTATAATTACTCCAAAGGATTCTTTGAATTCTGAAAATGTATACTTGTAAAATATATAAATCTATATTTTAATTCTTTGAAGATAAGTAATTATAATTTTCTGAATTAATATGAAATGAATAAACTGGTAAATTGTTAACATATATAACATTCTATTGAAATCTTGCTAAGATAGAAAAATATATAAAATAGGTATTATATACTTCATAATGGAAGTTATAAAGTAGGTTATTCTATCCACAAGCCATGATTAGACTCCCCAGTTTGATATACCAATCAGAATAAAAGCAAACCACGCATATGTCTATGATTTTTAATTTCTACTAATGCACAATCTTTCTAGACTTGAGCACTAGTCACTAGGTTCACAGTTTCTCAGAGATAAGGTCTTTATTTGAAAGATTTACATAAAAGACAGTAAAATATTAAAAGAAATAAACCAAACCACTCATTTGCAATTAGTTGCAAAGAAATACACAGTAAACTTGGAGGTATATCTGCATCAAATAATATCTTAATGACAGAACATTTAATCATCTTGATTTAAGAGGTCATATTACTTGTTCAGGGGAGACATATAAGTATCAAACAGAATCTGATCTAGTAATTATTTATACTGCTGTCTTCTCCACTATAATATATACTAGTATTAACCTGAAAGTAGAAGAGGATAATGAACCATAATGGCTTTGGGCCCAGAGTCAGGTCATGCAATATCAGCAGGCTATGATGCCTGCCTAACACATTCCAGTATGCTAAAGCCCAGATCCAGGAGCTGGATAATAAGAGAAGAAGCAAAAAAAGAAAAAAGATCAATAGATTAATTCTTCTAACACTATTCAGGCTCTAGAGGAACTGGTGGCATTGATGTGGAAAAAAAAAATCTCACAAAATGAAAAATCATTTTTATCTTAATCAGTTAAATATTGCATCATGGTCTATTCATCCTGACTACTAAAGGGCCCAAGTGGTCCTTACAGATATTATATAAATTTAAGCTTCTTTCCAGAATATCATAGAAATGTTTTTGAAAACTCATTGAACTTCAAAAGCTAGTAGGGGAGGAGTAGGCAACGTGAAGGCTAAATTCCAAATTTTGATTGCCAGCAACAAGGAATATGTGTACTAAAACATGAACTATTGGGGCTGGCAGTGTGGCACAGTGGGTTAAGGCACCAGCCTGCAGTGCCAACATCCCATATGGGTACTGGTTCTTGTCCCGGCTGCTGCCTTTCCCATCCAGCTCCCAGAAAGCAGCAGAGGATGGCCCAAATTGTTGGGCCCCTGCACCCATATGGGAGATGTAGAGGAGGCTCCTGGCTTCTGGCTCAGATCAGCCCAGCTCCAGCCATTGTGGCCATCTGGAGAGTGAACCAGCGGATGAGGACTTCTCTCTCTCTGTATCTACCTCTCTATGTAACTCTGATTTCAAAAAAATAAAATGAATCTTGGAGGGAAAAAAAAGAGCATGATCTATCATAGAATATTTACTTTCCAGGTATGCTAAAACATAGGTATATTTAAAAATATATGATTACCCCATATCCCCATATTTGTGGATTATATTTAGAAGAACAAACTGGATTTTCCTTTGATAGGTTTTATTTTTTTTTTGCTGTTTCTTTTTTTTTTATTTAATAAATGTGAATTTAAAAAGTGCAACTTTTGTATTATTGTGGCTCCCCCCCCCACCTCCCTCCCTCCCGCGGCCCTCCCTTCTCCCACTCCATCTCCCATCCCACCCTTCATCGAGTTTCATTTCCTTTGATAGGTTTTAAACAACAAAGGTTTTTGTGTGGTTTGAAATTATGACTGGTAATTTATCTATGGTATTAAGTTTGGATTTATTTTAATTTTTCACATCACTGACAGAATTAGTCTAAAGAATATAGGATACAGAGGAAATATTTACTCTATTGTTCTTTGTAATTCTGAATTTCAAAGGATTAACATAGACCATAAAATTGCTTGTGATCTAGTTTGAGTTCTGGGCTCTTGGATTTGGTCTGACCCAGCCCTGATTATTGCCGGCATTTGGGGAATGAACCAACACATGGAAGATCTCTCTATCTTATGTTTTTTCTGTCTTTCAAATAAGGTGAAACAACTAAATAAAAAGTAATATGTAAGTATATGATTATTTATTTTCAATACAATTTATCTCTAGGTCAGAGTAAATCATCATAAGAAAATATATCTGGAAAATTGGGAATTTGAAAAGGTTAAGTGATATTTTGAAGGATGAAGTTAATGTTTATTGTGTTCCCTAAAACATTGGAAAATGGATACATTTTAAATTAACTTTATCCAAAAGAAAATCCGACTTTAATTATACCAGAAATTCTTGACAGACCTGCCAGACACAAATAGAATTTTCTGCTACTAAGACTACAAAACTCTCTTACAGGAATTATATAAATCTGTTAAAAACATATCAGAACATTGATGTAAAAGTTTTTGGTCTTTATATTATAATAACTGGATCATATTCCTCTCTTAGAAAATGTCCACAAAACATTAATCCCACAGAGCTTGTGCATTTAAAAATACTAGAATTTAGAGCCCTTAAATATAAGCATTTATATCTAGTTTTGGGGGGCAGACACTTGCCCTAATATTAGGACACTGATTGAGATGCTCCCATCATATATTGAAGTAGCTGAGTTCGAAATCCGCTTCTACCCCTGATTCCAGCTTTCTGTCTGTGTGTTCCCTGAGGGGCAGTAGAGATGGCTCAAGTGGTTGGGTTCCTGCCACCTCCATGAGAGACTAGGATTGAGTCCATGGCTCCTGTCTTTAGTCTAGCCCAATGCTGGCCTGGATGTTGCAGGCATTTAGTGATTAAACCAGCCTGGGAGATGTCTGTCTGATGGCCTGCCTGTCTGTCTGTCTGTCTCTCTCTCTCTCTCTGTGTCTCTGTTTCTCTGCCTCCCATATAAATAATTGATTTTTTTAAAAACACACAAAGATGTTGATTTGACTTTTGGAAAATTTAAACTAGTAATTAATATTTCAATAACTGCCTAATATATGGGAAAATAATGAGAAATGGGAGCTGAGGAAAAAGTTGCAAGTCTTACTGTTAATCATAAATTATCATAAAATAGAATATGACAAATTTATAATTACATATTAATTGGAAGAAACTATTTGCATATCTGCCAATGTCATCTGTGATATATTGGTTTCTATTTATCCTTTATAAACTGTAGGAAATGGCCTCCAACCTACATCATGAGTGATATCATATATTATAATAAAATAATAATAGATATGAAAATACCTTGCAAAGTTAGAAGTCCTAAAAATGTAAAGTATACTTACTTATTACACTTTTACTAATGCACTTCAATTGTCATACAGTGAAAACAGCACTGAGAAAAAATAAAACAAATTGCAATCTATTTTAATGCTATTTGATTGAGGACTCAAAGGGTAAATAAAATCAAAATATAATTAATTACACAGTGAGAGGGAATCTCTTCTCTTTTTTTTTTTTTGTTTGGACAGGCAGAGGGACAGTGGGGAGAGAGAGAGACAGAGAGAGAAAAAGGTCTTCCTTTGCCGTTGGTTCACCCTCCAATGGCCGCCGCTGCAGCCGGCGCACCGCGCTGATCCTGGCAGGAGCCAGGAGCCAGGTGCTTTTCCTGGTCTCCCATGGGGTGCAGGGCCCAAGCACCTGGGCCATCCTCCACTGCACTCCCTGGCCATAGCAGAGAGCTGGCCTGGAAGAGGGGCAACCGGGACAGAATCCGGCGCCCCAACCGGGACTAGAACCCGGTGTGCCGGCGCCGCAAGGTGGAGGATTAGCCTATTGAGCCACGGCGCCGGCTTGGGAATCTCTTCTCAATAATGACTGAAAAGGAATTTAACAGGGTTGGCATTTTGGTGCAGGATTAAGGCACCACCTCTGATGCCAGCAAACTATATTAATGCCAATTCGAGTCCTGGCTGTTCCACTTCCTATCAAGCTCCCTGAAAATGATTTGGGTTCTGCTGCCCACGTGGTAGACACAGAGTTCCTGGCTCCTAGCTTCCACCTACCTTGCCTTGACTATTATATGCATGTGGGGAGTGAACCAGCAGATGGAAGATCTCTCTCTTGCTCTGTCTCTCTAAATCTTTTTTTTTTTTTTTTAAATCTAATGCAATAATGGTAAACACAAATATCTACAATATTTTTCTGTGATACTAGCTCTAAACTACTGATATACTTTGGCATTTTATAAGCTGCTCTACACGGAAACTGTTAAATTTTTGGTAGGCTACTTCAGTCAGAAACAAGCAGACTACTTAGAAGAGCAGAAAGAATAATTAAAAAAAAAAAAAAAAACCTAGTTGGGGTATCAAGTCTCCCAATGAGATACTTACATTGTAAGGATAGACTTAAAGAGAATGTAATTTGTTCGGAAAAGTTATATTTAACACAGTTAACCTTCACATCTCTGCAGAACTGAGTTTGGGGAAGGGGAGCAGGGTTATGGAGGAAAAAGCATAATTGTAGACAATAAAAATGAACTAAGGTGATAAACAAAAGAATTTTAGTCAAGTTACTGGGAGACTTCCTAGGAGGAAAAACTTGCTGGGGAGGGAAAGCCTTAAAAATTACAGGCTTTAGGAAATGTTTGGGCTGTGTGAAAGGTGTGTACTTAGGCTAATTTTGCGAGGTTGAGGAATTTGATAGCTTCATAATGTATAGATATTCCAAAACTTACTTGGATAAATCTAGTTTCAAAGGTAATGCCATACCAGGTTAAGTTGCAGAAATTAACTCCTTAGGGTAAGAATTTTCATCATTTGAATCTTTCTTTCTTTATTTATAAAATAAGGATAGCACTAATAATCGAAGCTGCAAGTTTAAGCATTGAAAAATAGTAATATACAAAGGTAAGCATTTCCTAAACCAAAATACTGCAAAAAGTTCATCCATTTTATTCTAAACTAAAATACAAAATTGTTTGATACAGGCATTTGCTGCAGAAGTTAAAATTCCACTTAGGACATACACATCTCATATCAGGATTCAAATCCTGGCTTGCTTCTGATCCCAACTTTCTGTTAATGTGCACTATGGAGACAGCAGGTGATGGCTCTCATGCTTGGATCCCTGCCACCCATGTGAGAAACGTGGATTGGATTGAGTTGCCAGTTCCTGGCTTCAGTCTGGTGAAACCCTGGTTGTTGCATGAATTTGAGGAGTGAACAAATAAATTGGAGATATCTCTCTCTGTCTCTGTGTCTCTCTCTTTCTCTCTGCCTTTCAAATAAAGTGGTTAAAAAAAAAAGCCCCTATTTTTTCCCCAACAGAAGTTGTAATTTAATAGAAGGAATAGTGCTCTTGAATCTGGGTCATGAAAACTTAAAGAGTTTCTATTTTCTCATTAAAGATGGGAATGATCCTTATTTTGTAGGGCTTTTCTAAAGATTGTAACTACATTGGATACACCATTATTCCAATACAATATTCTCTCATAGATGATTTTTAAAACACACAGAGTATTAGTGGTTTTTTTCCTCATCTCTACCATATAATTGATTATTGAAGTCTCCCATTAGTCCTACTTCACATATATATTGCATATAAACTTATTTTTTCTCAAACTGCATCTTTTAAAAACTGCCTTAGTCTTTGTTTTAAAATCTCCTTTTAAAAATTGCCTTAGTCTTGTCTTTGCTTTAATTTTAAAACCTTCTTCAGTCATTTCATTTACAATGTTTAAAAATGTTTCTGGCGGGAGTGGGTGTTGTATTATCTTGTTTCTACCAAAATGTTTGTCTTCCAGATCAAAAGATAGAGGCCTTCTAAACTCTATTTCTATGTCAGTGATACACTTCCTAAATACAGCTGCTTTGCTATGTAGCCATAATCGAATGCTAATACAAGTCATTCATCCCAGGGGCTGGGCACAGTATTAAGCTTTAAAACATATCTCATCTGTGTGCCTTGGCTTCTCTGGAATTCAAGAGTTTGAATTCAGTTTAAAATAAATGGTCATATTTTTCTGTGTCCATTCTCAAATTTTCTTAATTTTTTTTCATTCGGTTATTTTCTGTCTGAATATTGGAAAGCCTATCTCCAGCTTTACACTTTTCCCCTTCCACTTTCTGTTGCTGACAGTCTAAATGTGGTGGTCAAAAATAGATTCTGAATGGCAGTCAAAATATCTAGGCTCATGTTCTAGACTTGCCGCTGACAAACTAGACCATACGTCTCTGAGATTTAACTTCTTTTACTTCAAACACAGAGGTAGGAGAAAATGACTTTTTAGGCCCCATACATGGATCATGTGAATTTGTTTTCCAAAGTTCACACCTGTATGGAATTATGAGAAAAAGGCTATACCCAAAATCATCTGTGCCCGTAGTAGTAAAACAGACTTGGGGGAGAAGATGTACCTGCGATTTCTTCTAAGGTGTTGGCATGCATGTCCAGCAACACAGTTCCATTCAGAGTACAACTTCTCAACTCAAACAAGCTGTGCAAGGAAAGAGTGGCCACATAAGGCTTGCTCCACCTTTCTCCTCCATCTTCCACATCTTCTTCAAACTTCAACCACCTATAAAAAATGAGTATTGTTATCAGCACACTGGATATTATATTGTAGCACACTGGATATTATATTGTAGACAAATGATCCTTTACCTCAATAGTAAAAAGTAGAAATAGGAAGATATTCACATTATTTCTTGGTTTCATATAGCTTGGTTTCACATAGCTGAAGCTAACTCCATTTAACAAGCAATACTTGTAATACAAGTACTTGTAATACAAGTATTTTTGAAAACAAAGAAAACCAATATTTTGTTGATATGTCAGCTCTGAAGAAACATTTTAATAAAAATGCTTTAAAAAGTGGTGACAGTGAAACTGTTACAGAATTAATAGAGTATAATTCTTTATGGAAAGATAATGGTAAGCAAATAATAAAATGAAAGCATACTCATTTTTCATTAGAGGGAAGTCTTATATCTAATGTTTTAGTCTCTTGATAATTTTTACATTCGATTTTTGGAGGAGGCTAGTATAATTAGGGCCCGTTCTTTAGGAAAAATCCTGATTAGGCTTGTTTGGATGAGCTAGTGATAACAATCACTTCCTGGGAACTGAGTACATGAGACAGGATTTCAGAGCCCCATTCTCTGGGTGTCCTGGCACCAGGAGGAAAACAGGAGCGTTACTTTGATATCTTGATTCCAGATGGGAGATTACTGCCTTCTTGGACTGAAATGAATAGTGAGTAACACACTGAATTCTTTGTAAGCAAGATAAACATAAGAGATAAAGAGAAACCAAAGATGTCACTCCTCTGCTACAGATCATTCAATCTCTTAAACCTTTAGGGACTTGTTTTCTAATCCTGGGCCCTGCACCCGTATGAGAGACCAGGAGAAGCAGCTGGCTCCTGGCTTCGTATCAGTGCGGTGCACCAGCCGCAGCGCGCCGGCCGCAGTGGCCACTGGAGGGTGAACCAATGGTAAAGGAAGACCTTTCTCCCTGTCTCTCTCTCTCTCTCTCTCACTGTCCACTCTGCCTGTCAAAAAATAAATAAAATAAATAAAAATAAAAATAAAAATAAAAACTATTTGAAGCCCCAAATCACTGGTAGTTTACCTTCAAGGCTTGGGATTTTACAGATTATTGCTTTCTACACAGCTAGAGGTATTTGATATTTGTGATTCTTTAAATTTCTCAGCCCTTTACAGGGCCATAATATCTATAAATCATGTCAGGGTCATTAGCACTGTTCATGAGCTATCAGAGTCTCTGCCTACCTCTCCGTGAAGAGTAGGATGTCACTATCTGACTCCTTTTTTACCTGTAAGACCGTGATTAACTCTGGACAATGAGTCAGGAGCAGAAATTGTGCATGTGCTGCTCCCAGACCGGAGTACTTAACTGTGAGATGAGACCCTCTGGTGCTCTCTTTCCCTGACATGTCATCTAGCAATATTCAAAACTGAGGCTGCGTTCAGCAACTGCAGATGAGCAGAGCCTCCACTGGTCCGTGACAGACATGAATCAAGGGGTCATAAAAAAAATCCTTTGTGGTTTTATGCCACTTAGGGAGAATTTTTTATAGCTTGATTTAACCTATCCCAACTGACACACATCACCATTTTAGCTATTCATATCAGCATAAATCCTAATTAGAATTACTAATTCTAATGAGAGCGAATACAATTTTAGTAAATACAAAAATACAATTTCTTGTCCGACTTCAGAGTAAGGTCCTCTTCACATTATGAATGCCAATTTCAAAAAGGGCCATGCTGGAAGACATCACAGCATGGAACAGTATTGCAGACAGCACCTTACATGAGTCACAAATGAAAAGAAATGGATACTTTGTACATACTCTACAAGCAAACTACCGTGTGACCAAGTAACGCTTTTGAAACTCTTTGGATCTATAAATTGCTTTTGGGAGAATGGACATTTTGATGATGTTGATTCTTCCAATCCATTGAATTTATAGATTCAATGCAATACCAGTCAAGATACCAAAGACATTCTTCTCAGATCTAGAAAAAATGATGCTGAAATTCATATGGAGACGCAGGAGACCTCAAATAGCTAAAGCAATTTTGTACAACAAAAACAAAACTGGAGGCATCACAATACCAGATTTCAGGACATACTACAGGGCAGTTGTTATCAAAACAGCATGGTACTGGTACAGAAACAGATGGATAGACCAATGGAACAGAATAGAAACACTAGAAATCAACCCAAACATCTGCAGCCAACTTACATTTGATCAAGGATCTAAAACCAATTCTTGAAGCGAGGACAGTCTATTCAATAAATGGTGCTGGGAAAATTGGATTTCCATGTGCAGAAGCATGAAGTAAGACCCCTACCTTACACCTTACACAAAAATCTACTCAGCATGGATTAAAGACCTAAATCTACAACCCAACACCATCAAATTATTAGAGAACATTCGAGAAACCCTGCAAGATATTGGCATCGGCAAAGACTTCTTGGAAAAGACCCCAGAAGCACAGGCAGTCAAAGCCAAAATTAACATTTGGGATTGCATCAAATTGAGAAGTTTCTGTACTGCAAAAGAAACAGTCAGGAGAGTGAAAAGACAACCGACAGAATGGGAAAAAATATTTGCAAACTATGCTACAGATAAAGGATTAATAACCAGAATCTACAAAGACATCAAGAAACTCCACAACAACAAAACAAACAACCCACTTAAGAGATGGGCCAAGGACCTCAATAGACATTTTTCAAAAGAGCAAATCCAAATGGCCAACAGGCACATGAAAAAATGTTCAAGATCACTAGCAATCAGGGAAATGCAAATCAAAACCACAATGAGGTTCCACCTCACCCCTGTGAGAATGGCTCACATTCAGAAATCTACCAACAACAGATGCTGGTGAGGATGTGGGGAAAAAGAGACACTAATCCACTGTTGGTGGGAATGCAAACTGCTCAAGCCACTATGGAAGTCAGTCTGGAGATTCCTCAGAAACCTGAATATAACCCTACCATTCAACCCAGCCATCCCACTCCTTGGAATTTACCCAAAGGAAATTAAATTGGCAAACAAAAAAGTGGTCTGCACCTTAATGCTTATTGCAGCTCAATTCACAATAGCTAAGACCTGGAATCAACCTAAATGCCCATGAACAGTTGCCAGAGACCAGCTCCAGCCAGTCCAGGGGCCCCAAGGTGTGAGAGGTGTAGGCACTCCAAGAAATGAGAAACACAGCAAGGCTGATGGCATGGCTCTGGCTTTTGAGCACCAGACTTTATTTTTATACGATAAGCCACATAATGATTTTTTCTTCTTACAATGAAAAGCCTGTTGTCCATTTTTTCTTTTTTCTTTTTTTTAACTTTTATTTAATGAATATAAATTTCCAAAGTACAGCTTATGGGTTACAATGGCTTCCCCCCCATAACGTCCCTCCCACCCCCAACCCTCCCCTTTCCCACTCCCTCTTCCCTTCCATTCACATCAAGATTCATTTTCAATTCTCTGTATATACAGAAGATCAATTTAGCATACATTAAGTAAAGATTTCAACAGTTTGCTCCCACACAGAAACATAAAGTGAAAAATACTGTTTGAGTACTAGTTATAGCATTAAATCTCAATGTACAGCACACTAAGGACAAAGATCCTACATGAGGAGTAAGTGCACAGTGACTCCTGTTGTTGACTTAACAAATTGACACTCTTGTTTATGGCATCAGTAATCACCCGAGGCTCTTGTCATGAGCTGCCAAGGCCCCCTGAGTTTTTATTTTCAAGGGCATACTCAGAGCATGGGTTACAATCACAGACAGGTGCAAGATAACAGGCTGCCCACACTAGCCAAGGCCTCGAGTGCTACTGAGCTATGCAGAAATTGGCTACATAGGCTAGAATAGTACCTTCCTAATCTAATCTTTACTAGAAGCCCCAAATTCAAAGCAGACCCTTTTTAAAATGTATCCCCTCTTTGCAACTTTTTCTGTAATTCTTTAATTTCTTTATTGCATATATTTAAAGCTTTACTTAGATCTATTCTACAGTTTTGACATCCTAACCATTGTAGTATTTGTAGCATATAGGGAATTAAAGCTTTATTAACATCTATCTTTATTCTAGTGGGACGTATATACCAGAGAGCCTGTTGCCTTTTAATTCTTTTCTACAAATAGCTCAACCTTGCATAAGGCATTAACCCTTTCTTCTACACTAACATTCTGCTTGATTAAAATTCTACAAGGCATGGACATTTTGGAGGTTATGAGACTAAGTGCTCATCCGTAAAATTCGGAATACAGCAATCATTAGCAGGACCACCAGGAAGCTCCAGCTTGTAGTTCCCATCAAAACTAAAACCACCAAGAGGACCGTAGCTGTCCTTCTCATGCCTTGCTGAGACAGACCTTCTGCTGTGACCTTGTCAGCCAGCTGAAGTTGCCTTGGCCTGGTCAAACAGTAGACTGGATAAAGAAATTATGGGATATGTACTCTACAGAATACTATACAGCAGTCAAAAACAATGAAATCTGGTCATTTGCAACAAAATGGAGGAATGTGGAAAACATTATGCTGAGTAAAATAAGCCAGTCCCAAAGGGATAAATATCATAAATATCCATTGTGGCTCTATCATTTTACACTCATATCATCAATTTAAGAGCGATCTAATTTCTCTGCACTTTATCAGCACTTATTATTATGACTTTTTTATTTTATCTATTCTATTAGGAAGTCAGTGATATCTCTTATTAGCTTAAATTTGCATTTTCCCAATGATGAATGACATTGGAAATCTTTTTTATGTACTATTTGTCATTTGTATTTCTTTTTTCATGAAATTTCTGTTTGTGTCTTTTGTCCATTTTTCTAAATGATTTATTTTCATATATTGGACTTCGAGAATTCTATATTATACATATTCTACTTTTGTTGAATATACGGTTTGCAAATACTTCCTTCTCATTCATAGCTTATCTTTTCATTCTCTTAGCAGGATCTTTCTTAACATGAAAGTTCTCATTTTGATGAAGTTCAGTTTATGGCTATTTCCTTTTATCGATT